TATCTTGTTGGCGGAGGGCGCAGAGCTCAAGTACATTAACCAGATCCCGCACACTGACCACTGTATCTGGTTGCCGGTCACCCTGGAAGCGTACCTCGCCGAGACAGGTGATTATGATCTTCTGAAGGAGCAAGTAAAAGGAATGCACGGCGATACGTATACCGTATTTGAGCGCTTTAGTCGGGCTATGGATTGGTTACTCTCGGCCCGAGACGCGCGTGGGCTGAGCTATATTGCGCAAGGTGATTGGTGCGACCCGTTGAACATGGTGGGTTACAAGGGTAAGGGCGTATCCGGGTGGCAGACGGTTGCTACCGCATTTGCGTTGAAGTTGTGGGCGGACGTTTGTGAGCACGAAGGCAAAGCCGATCTAGCAGCACACTATCGCGCAGAAGCCAAGGGGGTCAACGATGCGGCTAATGCACACCTGTGGGATGGAGACTGGTTCGCGCGAGGAATCACAGACGATAACGTGATCTTCGGCGTCAAGACGGATAAGGAGGGTCGTATTTGGTTGAATCCGCAGACGTGGTCGATCTTGAGCGGGGCGGCTAGCAACGAGCAGATCACGCGGATGTTGCCCCAAGTAGACTCGCAGATGGGTACGCCATACGGCGTCGTGATGTTCGCTCCTCCATATAGCGGCATGCGAGAAGATGTAGGGCGTGTGACGCAAAAGTATCCCGGTTCGGCTGAGAACGGGTCGGTCTATAACCATGCGGCCGTCTTCTACGTCCACAGCCTGTATTCAATTAAGGAGAGCGACCGAGCATACGATGCTCTAAGGAAGATGATCCCTGGGCCTTCAGAAGAGGACTACATACAGAGGGGTCAACTGCCCGTGTATATCCCTAATTATTACCGAGGCGCGTACCAGCAATATCCCCGCACTGCGGGACGGTCTAGCCAACTCTTCAACACGGGGACAGTGTCATGGGTATACCGAAGCTTTATCGAAGGACTATGTGGTTTGCGTGGAGATGCAAAGGGTTTGCGTATCCAGCCACAGTTACCGTCTTCCTGGGATGCCATCAAAGTGACACGCCTATTCCGGGGCGCTACATTCGTTATTGACATCCGACGTTCAGCAGATGTAAAGGAGGTAGTGGTAAAGCATGAGGGCCGAGTCCTTCCGGAGGCGCGCTTCACCAATATCCAGTCGGGTGCTACCTATGAGCTCTCCGTCGCGGTACCTAAATAACGTGCCAGGCTGTTTAGGATTGTTGATTATACGGCTGATAGCTAGTTGGACCTATGATGTTGGACTGGCTGGCCAAAATGGAAACAAAAGGAGAGGCCTGCAAAATACGTATAAATAAGTAATTTGTTGATGAGCCAGCTGGATAAAGACTCTCTTTGAATTTGTTTTCAGCTTATAAAATCCTGTTAATAGACGGCGTCATATTCATATAGAGAAATTTCAGTCTTGAATTTGTATCATCCAATGCATCAAAATCCTCTTGTTCTCCTAAGGAGTAAATCGATGAAGCTTGAAACGCCAAGAGGGTGCACGTCCACACTAACTCACATCGTATCTTGGCGACGTCTCAAGCTGAAGACCGCCTCGAGATGAGTAAATCCTCAAGAATTTCTTCTGTTCGCCAATTAACGTAGCGAACAGAAAAAAATGACGATGGACATACGGCGAGGCCCCGCGATAACGCTCCTTAACCTCGTGATATTATGTCTGGCAACATCTGCGTTAGGTCAAAGGATACGAGTCGAGCAACCGATTCGCCCTCTCGTAATGGACGGGACAACGATAACGAGCGATCCAGACAACCTACCCGAGAATGCAATGATAGAACAAGTCGTCGAACCAAGCATCCCACAAGTCTCCGATGTACCGCAAATCTCAGGTATTCCACAAGTAGATGTGAATCCACCTAACGGCTCTACAGCCGGTAGTCAAGCGCAGCCAACTGAGCCCGTGGTTCCAATATCCGCATTGTTATTCTCCGGGCCACCTGGACCGAAAGACTGTCGCGGCACAGTAATGACGAACATCCAGCTGCCGAAACCTGGATCGCAACACTCAACTCCGAAATGTTATAACGTACCTGGGGTAGCACAATGTGGGGTCTTCATCGCGAATAAGGACGATGGATGCCAGGCACGCTTGTTCAACGAGCCCAACTGTCTGACGTTTGCCAACCTAGCCGTATTTATTCCGGAGCAGAGGGCTTTTGGTGGATTCTTGAGGAGTATTGAGATTACGTGTGGAATCGAAGGTGTGACACCGCCACCGTTAAATCTTCCCGGTCTTAAATTACCGCCAAACGCTCAACAGGCCAGTGGAAAGGTACCTAAAATTTCGTCTATAGTATTTCCCGCTTTGAATGAGAAATGAGACAAGCTGACTATGTAACGGCAGTGAGCCATGGCCATCGGTCTATGCCATAATAAAAGACAAAGAGCCCACGCAAACCGGTCTGTAAAGGATTGCGAATACCTAATAGGCGCCTAACCTATGTTGCAGAGATGGATCGTGGCTTGCGGCTCATTGGCGAAATCCGGAGAAGTTCCCAACGACTGGTCATGTCGTGCAGACTTATATACCTAATATATATAAGGAATCTTATCAGCACTACCGGCCTGAGAGAGCCGATCTCTTGGTATAAGACAATTTATTAATGCAGCGTGACGGGAACACGTTGCGGGCAACGGGAGGGGGAACCTCATCGTCGAGAAGACGAATCATGAGTCAAGAAGTTCTGCCGGACGCAAGTAAACTGATGCCCAAGCGATATTCACTATGGAAGTAGACATGCGACGCATGTTTGGCGTAGGGAAGGGTTACATACGGCTAAGCAAGTAGATACGATGAATGGAAGAAGGAGTGATGTAATGTAACAAGTGATGAAGTAACGAAGTGATGTAGTAACGAAGTGATGTAGTAACGAAGTGATGTAGTAACGAAGTGATGTCTGATAGGAAATATTTAAAATATCAATTAGAGTTATGATAGCAGCAACTACCTAACCTACAATGTGCTAAATACAGCATGTCAGCAGATATTTCCACTGTGTCTTAGCATCTAGTACCCGTACAATACGATAGCACTATCGATAAAACCATTCTCATACGACCTTAGCGGGGCTGGCGGGGGATTTTACAGCGTAAGAATAGTAAGAACAGCGCTAAAATAGGCCTATCTAGGCAATGTCGCGTCATTACTCCATGCTCAAGCAGTGCGTGACTTGACTCGGATTCAAAACTCAAAGGCAAGAGACCTCCTCCGCTTTCTACTCTTTCACCGAACAAACCCGTTAAGTTCCATTAGGCCATTAGGTACTACAGCACCCATTACCACGGTACAATCCGATCTAATCTTAGGTACTTACCTCTTACATCCAAAGAACCTAACAACCTTATCCCGTTCAATCGTTCCATCCTTTTACCAACCTATCGACTCCTCCCAACGTCTCCTTCCCTAGCGCATTCAACACCACCTAAGGAACAAGAATAGCCAACACATACGCCGCCCCTACCACGACTAGTAAATATCTGATACTCTGTCTTTGGAGAATATTTCCTTTGAGCAACGAACAGGATATTTCAACCTAAATCCGAAAAGACAACGTACGAGAGAGAACCCTATTACCTAGCGAGCAGATCTTAGGACCGCCTAAGAGAGAATAAAAGAAATACCACTTCAAGGGAATATCTCAAGTATAAAAGGGCAGAAACAAGAGCAAAATGAGTAGCCCACGCAGACGAATCGAGACGGATGTAAGTCTACGTCTACGTTGGGTATATACAGCTTCACGAGTCATTACTTGCTAACATGGAATTCTAAATAAGGTCATGAAGTATGCGATGTTCTTGTTAATTCGTGTTCGAAACCTCTGCTAACTATCTCGTAGGATGTATGATTGCCTTTGCTAACGAAGCCTGATACCCCAACTAAATCCTCTCAGGCTTATGTCCGACTATGAGGTCACTCTGGTCAACGACAATAGTATTTGACCCCTCTCGCTTCTTATTTGTTACGATGCTAACCACACGGTTGCAGTGTAAGCTAGTTCATCGTACTCGCCTTTATCCTCCAAATCCTTACATATTTACAGGCAAGAATTCTACGTCCGATTCAAGGGACCCGCCGAAAGTTAGTAAAGAGGAAGTCAGATTTCGTTACCCAACCATATCTAACCAAATGCCTACATAGCACCATTCGAGAATGGAACCTGGAAAGTCCACGTCGAGCTGCCTGACCAATACCCGTACAAATCGCCTAGTATTGGCTTCGTGAACCGGATCTTCCACCCGAACATAGATGAGCTGTAAGTGATTTGGGTCTTGGATGTGAACCCTTCGGCACGAGGAATGCTATGTTCTAGGACAGGACTAAGGAAAGCAATATTATGGAACAGGTCCGGCTCGGTTTGCTTGGATGTCATCAACCAAACCTGGTCGCCGATGTTCGATATGATCAACATCTTCGAAGTCTTCCTCCCGCAACTCCTCCGATATCCCAACCCCGCCGATCCTTTGAACGGTGAAGCGGCTGCATTGCTGATGCGGGAGCCGAAAAGCTACGACGCTAAAGTCAAGGGTATGCCCGTCCTTGCGTCTCTTTTCTAGAGCAGAGATTGGGGGAGTAGGACCAGCTAACAGAAAGTAGAATATGTCCAAAAATATGCCAGTAAAGACGCTGCAGATGACGCCGGAGCCGAGAGCGAAGACGACGACGATATGTCCTCGGTTGCAAGCTTTGGGGATGAAGAGGACGAACCCGCCGGTCAGATGGATGACGTGTAATCAATCGTCTCATGCCATTCCCTTATTTTTCAACTCGCCTCTCTTCGATGAATCAACTCTGGATTAAGGAGTAACACGGATTTCCCTTGCGATTGTGGGTGGGTTTGGTGTTTTTGCACGTAATTTGCATAAGGAATTGAGCCGACTGCTGGAATTGCAATCGTTCTCGACAGCTAGGTAGCATTGATATTTTACTGGACTTCCTCCAATACGTTCTTGGTCAGCTTGCTATTTTCGCACCAAATCGTTGGAGGTGGCCACTCTTGATTGCTTTCATGATCATTATAGAACAAGGGTATCGATGATAAATTCTAATCAACCCGACCAGACCCGTGCTACAAGCTTAGCCTCATCTTGCCTTATGCCCCCAGTGGCTCCCCTAATATGCTATATCCCATGATCTAACCCGGGTATCTCTTTAATGACCAAAACCAGACACCCATTTTCCCCAAGACGCCATTCTAGTGTAGTGATATCTTAATCCGAGTCGTACTCAACTAACGACGTTAATGATACCGTGCCTTTCCCTTCTCGTTCCATATCAGCCGCCCCTCTCTTTTCTGACGATTCAGGCTGCTCATGATCTTCAGACTCCGGCTCCGGCTCCGGCTCTCGCCTCTTTCTCTTAATCCCAGCAATCCTAGAGGGGCCTTTATTACTATCCCCATTACTACGATCCAGCGACAGGAACGGGTCCTGAGCCACCCGCGTGTTTCCAACGATCTCGGACACCAAAATATCCCTCATCTGAGCAGCAGCGACTTCGGATTTCAACTTCTTGCTTTTCGTCTTCTTCCTCCTATCGTCTTTCGTATCCGCGCTGCTACCACTACCACTACCACTCCCCGAACTTGTCGGGAATAACGGCTTCGCAAGCGCCTTGCGCCCCATCTCGCCGCCCGCGGCGTCCGACGACGGTCCAAAATCCACCAGCGCAGCCCGTCGCGCGTCCTCGTCGCTCGCAGGCAGCAACTCGATCCCTAAGCCCATCCTCTCGCGCAAGTTCTCCGCCGCCGCGGCATCCCGCTCGCGCTCCTTGCGCCCGACCCGAAACGCAGCGCGCAGCCGGCGGTTCTGCTCGTACGGGTCCTCCCAACGGCGCGCGCTCTCCACCTCCAGCTCGTCGATGCGCTCCTTCGCGGCTTCCAGGACCTTGCGGTCGGCAATCGTCTTCTCCAGCTTGGCAAACGCGTTCGTGCGCAGGCTCTCGCGCTCCGCGTCTGTCAGTATCGGCGCGGATAGCGGATCGGGCGACCCCGTGTCCCGCCGGCGCGCGCCCTCGGTCACTGCGTAGGTGGTGTGTTCGGGGTCGGTGCGGATCTCGATGGCGCCGCTGCACGCGGTGTGCGTCATGCGGAAGGCGAAGATGGGCGTGCTGTGGTAGGACCCAACTTTGCGCTTGGCGGCGTTGAAGCGCACGCCTTGCGCGATGAGCGTGGGTTGTGGGCAGTGTGCGCACCATATCGCGAAGGGCATCTCGAAGCGCACTGTCTGCTGTCCGCCGGAGAACCCTGGGGGGCGCTTCTTGTGCAGTTTGTTGCCGGTCGTGGTCCCCTCGACGTCGGGCGGCACGTACCGCCCCATGTTGAAGCCCTGCATCGTGAGGGGGGGGCGGAGATGGGAGGTCGCTTTCTGCTGGGCTGTCTTTGTGGTGTTGTATCAAGGATCGCGAACGATGTTATGCCTTAAGAGGGCCAATTCGGCCGGTGTGTGTGAGATGAACAGGTTGCGGTGGGTTGCTTTAATGGGTTCGATAAGATAATAAAATATGTGCCTATTAGATAAGACAGAGTTACTGTTTATTAACATATTATTAGCATATAACACTTACCAGCTTCCAATACAAGACATGCATTTATAAGAACAATCTCAGTTCAAGTATCTTCCCATTTCCACTCCATGGAGAGATGAAATTACATAGCATTATATACTTGAAAGAAGCATAGCCACCTAGCTATGCTTAACTAGGTAGTTAAGCGAAGCTATAGGAGGCGTTAAACATAAATAGGTACCTAGGTATATATACCCAAACGCTTGAGATATCCATTTCATCACCAACACCAGACTCCAAACTCCAGATTGTCAATAACAGGTAAATAATAACTCGATCTGGTATATTATTTGAGGAGACGAATTCTCCCTAAATAAACGCTAAAATGTTTCAACCACTAAAAATTCGCGCCGATTTGTTGTATAATTATCGGGTTCGTAATGTATAGGAGGTACTCTTATAAGAACACTGCCTATCGGTCCATTCATCGTACGCCTGGGTTCTCTTATTTCCCTGCCACCACGAGCTGCAGTAGAATACGTCAATCGAAGCTCTCACGGAAGCCAGTCAAATCGTGAATACAAACCTAAGTCTTATCCCCATGAGTGCTAGTGAGCCCCTTTTGGTCGCTCGCGAATATTTTCTTGCTTGCCGCTGTTGATAAACTGCGCAAAGCGTATTGCAAAACTGATAGTAGAACGTTTGGTATGACGTTTAGAGACGATGTATTCTTCTTGCATGGCGAAGGTGGGAAAGGGATGTGCCTGGCTTTTTATAAATGGTTTTAGAGCGTCAAGCCTTGGTCTGATCTGCCTTATAAGAGTGAGAGAGCTAGTCTCATATTTATATATTTATATATTGATAGGTATATTGATATATTCTTCACTTTACACGTTGTATCTTTGCTTCCGCTTAGACGCAACTGAGATTGGGGGCAGGCCAGCCCAGCCCTGTAGCGATGAGATCTGTTTGCTAACAAGTTCTCTGTAGAGATGAGCCAATAAGGAATTCCGTGAGTGCTAAGAATAGCTGTCGTCATCATCCGCGCACACGATTCGGGAAACATGAACTGGTGGTGATACGCAAGCAACGCTTATGTCATTTTCAAATAGTCGGTGAACGCGCTGCGACACTGTTTCGCGATAGGTACAAGCAAGCTCAGCCTCAGCTGAATGGCTCGATCATACCGCCTGTTCGACATACTCTTCTAGATCATAAAGTCTATAGTTGCGGTCTGCTTAATACAATACGGCTGTACTAGAGTCGTGGTCTTACTATGGTTTCAATCCGCCTCCAATCAGGCAACACCTCGAACCACAGTAATTTGCCTATGGTTCCTTGGGTTGGGTAGTATTGGTACAATACAGGTTGCAACTTAAATATCCGAATCAGGTTGGTTCCGCCGGGACTCTAAGCCAGTTAATTAGTTAATTATACCAATCGCGTCTAAGTAAGCTAGAACACGATATAGATTCAAAGTGGGGTTAAAATGGTGTTCGTAGACGGTATACGGTTATGGAATGCACGTGTATTTTATTTGGCGAGTTGATACGACTTGATACGACCTACTTGATATAACTTGGTGGGTGTGTTCCGGTTAGACAACAACAAGACACAAATATCCAAGGACCAAATAATATGCAAGAAATCTGTATGATCTAACCCTCCTACAGCATCTATTGAGCAGGGAACGTCGATCCAATCTCACCCCACTTCAGGTTGCTGAATGTCACCTCAGGATGCGGCTCGATCTTACGGATGTTCGTGGGGTCTCCCTCGGTGGCGTTGCAGGGGCCAGAACCCCTTTCGGCGCCGTCAAGCCACGACATGTAGCCTTCTTCATCCCACCAGATGCTGAAAGTCAAGACCATTCCTCGAGTCAGAGCATCCCCCATTTCCTCGTGGGCGCCAAGGTTCATGAAACTAGTCGCGCCTGTCGCAGCGCAGTATTCATCGTTGGTGAATGAAACCTCGGGTATACCAGTCTTCTTCACTACCTCGGCTCTGATGACCTTGTCATCCTGGACGTACAGGCGGTGGATCTCCTTTAATTTGCCCTCCTCGTCGGCGGGGAACTGGGTGACGACCGTGAATGGCCTGGTCGTGTCTACCGTGTAGTTCGCTCCCCTTCCGTAGTAGTTGGGCTGGTCAAGGCGGTAGGGGTTCCAACTGCAACCGTCCTTATCACAGACACCGTCGTCTCCGCACTCGTCTCCTGTGCACATGTATAGTCCGGTCTGGTTGCAAGTGTGAGGTGCAATTTGGGTGGAACGCGAGTTGGCCTCCCAGATGTCCATCTCATTGCAGCAAGCGCCCTTGCCGTCAACGTTGCCCTAATACAACTGTTAGATAACAATACCATCGCGCACAGAAACTAGGAAAGCTTGATTGGTGCGTTAATTTAGATATTTCTTACCTCACCGTTGATAAAAGGAGTGACATAGCACTGGGCATCACAGTATCCAGTACCCCAGGCAGCTCCACCAGGGTTCAGCTCACTCTTACCTCCATCTTCCAACATCTCAGAGAGGTAAAAAGCGCTATTCATGCCGCACGGCAGATGGCTAGCTTCGACGTCGAAGGTGATCTCGGCACCGGTGAGCTTTAACAGGTCATATTTCTCCTTGGCTGCATCTAGGAGGTAGATGCGGGGAGAGACAACGTCGTCGCCAACGATCATCTGCAAGTTCAACGAGGTTCCATCAGTCGTGACACCAATGCTGCTGTAGTCGACTTGAGCCTCCACTGTAGTTAGAATGTTAGTTACTGTCGTTGTGGCTTTTAAAGGGGCTGGTAAAATCCAACACCCAATTCGAAGGGGTCGTGATATCACATACTAATGCAGTTTTGAGCGCATGCCTCCTTGGTAGGGCAAGCCGTTTCATTGGGCTTGTTGCCCCAGTCACCACAGCCAACATCGCTGCCGTCTTGGTGAACCCGATGTGCAGATGAGTCGAGGACGATGTAATTGGTCGACTCCTTACAACCGCCAGCCACGGTGCATCGGTAAGTTATCAACTCGGGATAAACATCAGTAGTGTTTCCAGGTTTCTGCGCGGCGGCGAGGCTGAGGACTGCGAGGCCGAAGGCAAGCTTGCTAGAGGCCATTGCGTTCGATGTTCTTCGAATTCCTTCGTCAAGTGATTTCGATGCACTGACGAGCACGCAACACTACTCCAGGAGCAACTCATATTCAAGGATATATATATATATATATTTTCTCGTGGATTCTCCACGAAATCGATACATCAAATTTCCACGTTCCCCAACTTCCCCAAATCATGCCATCCACGCGCCAAGTTATTTGAGGCCTGTTTTGACGCGTGGAGAGTGAAATGCCGGCTTAAGCTGGTGATCCGGGGGAAGATGGCCCGGCATCCCGGCGGCACCGTTTGTCGTATCCCCTGTGGAGAAAAAGCCCGAATCAGTACACGCTATGTCTAATACAACCCTACCCGTGTGAAAAATGTCGCTGCCATGGCTGATTACGAGTTCTATCTTAATTACTAATTAACCTCTTATCAATGTTCCTGCATGAGATGAGCCTCTCTTAAATTACGCATCATGCTTACCTATCCACTAGAGAAAGAGCAGAATACGAAATAGCGATAGTCCGGTAATCATACCGGGGACATATCGAACGTAAGCACTCTAATATCTGTCGGGTTATAATTAGAAGTCAAGCGGTAGTAAATGTACCGAAAATATTCTAAAATTCACCGGAGCATCCAAACAACTCGAGCCAATTCAATGGTGAAATTAGTTATGATCCAATATCCCATTATATTTAACTAATATTTAAATCATGATTACCTAGTTATTCTATAGCAATGTTGCTAGATACCGCATTGATTTAAAGCATAGTGCTCTTGCTAAGACGTGCGAGTTGGACAACGGCAAGTTCCAGTAGTCTACTAAGGCCTAGACTGATTTATTTTGGATCTGTGCGGCATGCTCTGCTTATGTATATAGCATACATGGATAACCCCTTGCGGATTCGACTAGGCAACGATTGGTATAATATGTACTTGCATCGCACACACGAAGATTGGCGCAGCCGTAGACTCAGTTCTAGGTCAACAACGCCCCGTAGTTCTCGCGGTATCATAACATAAAATCCCACCCAGCGGTGTGCACATTTTGCTCTTTTCAAAGGTGATCCTTAGCTTTCTACATAGATGTCAGAGAAGCCAGGTGCTAGCATGTCCGGGCCACCGCGGGGAAGGGGGGTACGCAGGCATCGCTCCGATACTTAAGTATTTTTCTACCCTTTTCATACTCAACACTAAGGTGCTGAACTACGGTTGCTGTAACACTCTCGGACTTGTCTAAGAGGGCCTTTTCAGCTCGAGTATCGGTCTAAACAGTCAAGTTATTCTCAGGTCGTATAGTGTTATTAATGTATGTATTGGCTGAGAAGCTCTTTGTCTTGTCAAGGCTAGTAATCACAAGACCCATTAGGCTACCCAGAAGTTCTCCCGACAGAATATCAGTACCCGTTGGAAATCCAAGTTCGGAAAGTGTACTTCTCTAGACCTTCGTGCACTAGAACCTCCAAGCAATCGTCTGGCGGGAGCTATGTCGGTTCTGTAGCCAAGACCGTCAAAATAGATAAGTCAACTGCATCTCAATAGACCTATAATCAGTCATATATACCTGGGGAACAATTTCGAAACACCAATTAGAATCAGTTGCTAGAAGACTTAGACCCGGTGAACATTAAACACCTGAGAACCCATTGCTACCGGTGTGATAATGAAGATAGGCTGCGCTAGTGTTGTGATATGATTGAGAGTTTGACATCGGTCAGCTAACAAGACACAGCACTTACCTAAAGCTATGATTATCAGGGGGTTGCGTTTAAGGTACTCTATGGATCCTGTAGTATGCCGAGGGCGGCTGCAGATAAACGGCATAACACATGAACATCTGATATAGTCGTATGTTGACGCATGTGATGCATTAGACAGACAGCCGGATTTGGTCAGGCTTTTTACACGTCAATGATTAGATGGTAGGTGCACGCCTGCATTTATCGGTGTACTGAGAAGGTAGGGAGTTCTCTATTATTCTATACCCATCCAGACTTCTAAGTTGTTGCGGTACGAAAACTTGAGTAAATTCCGCTCTGCCTATATCATCAAATGCTTACTGACCTACCATCACTTTCGTTAGACTACGGTTTAATTCTTAGAGAGTCGTGATAGGGGTGACGAATAAAATACAAATGTAAGCAAAATGAACTAATATATGACCTTTGTCATTGAAGCATTGTTCAGAACTATTACTTGCTTTTATATCCTCAGAGATCTACCTAGGTGACATAAGATAATAGGAGTTATACAGATATGGTTACAGCAGAAGGGTTGATACCAGACAAAGCTAAGTACCTAGTTGAGTTAAGGATATGAATAAGATTTAGCTTTATGGAAGAAGGTTACTTGATATTTAGAATGTGTGCCTAGGTTCGATTTTGGCCTTCTTCTACTATTGCAAGGATTCGTGTGTTTGTCTTTTGTCATTGTAACTGTATAGGTACCCTATGAAAAACAAAAAGAGATATTATCTAGTTCATTTTAGCAGGCCTAAAGGATAATATAATTGTTCTTAGATCTTTATGTCGCTGTTGTCTTTGATACAAGTACTTATATTCTTCTTCTTTACGGCAAATTCGCAAATATTCTAGACCCATGATATTACGATATACGATAACCCTTATTTTCTTATTCCAGTATGCATCACAGGCTGTGTAATCTAGCGGTCTTCTCGGTATATTTTCGCTTCTCGAGGCACACGTCGTGCTCGAGAATCCAAAGCCCTTTCGTTTCGTCCAATACGGTCCGACCAACCCTATATCATCAACTGGTGAAGATTTTCCTTGCAAGATACCAGCTGGTGGCAAGTTAGAACCGGAGGGCCCCCCAACGGTTATTAATATATTGGGGATGAACAAGGTGTCTCGTTCTCAGGACAAGCAGTCCACGGTGGTGGTTCCTGTCAGTTTAGATTGTCCGGTCCGGTCAGTAACGGTACACGGGAAACTTACCCCCTCAAGACTGCGAAATGGAAAGTCATTCACTCGATTGAAGGTGAGTGTTCCGCGCACAATCAAAGAGGGAATCTAGATGGCCCAAATCATGATCACTACTCTGTCCAGATACCAGAAGGTATTGAACCGGGTGATTATATTTTTGCATGGACTGTAAGCACCCTCCACCCCCTTCCCCTTTTCCTAACCGCCTTTGGGCTCTTATGGGGAATTTCACTAGATATTACTTGACGGCGTGAAGACTTATTAGTAATGTTTAATGGAAAATGCTGACTTGAAACCAGTGGCTTGCTCGAATTGGAGGACAACCAGAATATTACATGAATTGTGCGCCTATTACTGTTACTTCGGCCAAGAGAAAACGCATCAATAGTCTAGCTCGTCGGGCGTCACTTGACAAGAGAGCGGCCTTTCCGGAGCTATTCATGGCTAACATGGGTGGTGTTTCGGGAGGATGTACAACTGAAGAAGCCATACAGCAATAGATAGCAATTGCGTTCCCGAATCCTGGTCCTTCTGTTGACTATCCAGAAGGTTCTGAGAATCTTTTCAAACAGCCGTGTGATGGAAATCCCCGAGCTGGGCAAGGGATCATTCCTGGAACCCCTGATGGAACCCCTGATGTGAGTACATCTTCTCAACTTAGTCCAGCCTTTATATCGGAACCCAATGTATCGAGAACCATGTCCTCTTCTTCTATTTTGACAATTTCAACGCTATCTATATCACCATCATTGTCCAAAGGAGTAGTATCGACTAGTACGTCAAAAACGGCTTCTACAACGGACCTAGGAATATGTGTAGAAGGCTATCTTACTTGCCTTGATGATGGTTTGCACTTCGCTACTTGCACTGGTGGTCAGTTGACTCTTCCACAGCCTCTTGCACCGGGGTTTAAATGTAAGGTTGGCCCTGGATTTGGCCTTGACATTCCACCTGTGTAAGATCTTATACCCACGTACCTAAGTTAATAAAATAATTTATGTATATGCATATATTACTTGAAAATTAGACGAGCAACTGTAAGCCACTACCTTGAACGTTGCTGATACTGAACTTAGAATATACCCTGCTAAATATTCCTCTTTGGAGAATAGTATATTCGAAATACACCAACCTCAATACTGAAGAGAGAGAAAGAGAGAAAAGGACTCTTTGTTCATTGTAGCTAGTTTAAAGTGTAGAGTGTTTACAAGGTAGATATATCCTATGTATTGGGATCCGGACATGGGCCGGAAAATACTCCACTTCCCCAATGTATAAGACAAGAGGGTTTTATGTAAATTGGGTCTTTTCTACGATCTTATCTTGGTTACGGAATTCTGTGGATCAAATCGTAAAAAGGCGAAGGCTTCTTTTTGGTACCGAGCTTGAGGCTCCAAGTCTATTGGATAAATATACCTACATATGGTGGACAATGTGTGGTTACCGTTTTTGGTCCATGTCCGGACCCTAATGGGATATTATTATGGCGGGAAAACTCACATTATTGAAAAAAGGGCTAATAGGTGTATTAATCGAAAGGATAAGAAATATTCTGAAGAGGCAAAGTCTTCCAGCACTAGAGGCACCGGGGCCGACAGTCTAGTATTAAGGTCACCGCACTCAAATATAAAATAGCAATTAATACAATTACCTTTAGGATTTTAGAGTTGTGTCGTTATTAGTGGGCATCATAATTTGAACGTGGGTTTAACATCACCTCTGTGATATCTACCTAGGCAGCTGGGATATCCAACCGGAATTTAAGCCGCTGGCTTGGAAATTTGTTGGTTCGTAACTGTAAGGCTTGTCACAATTAGATCCTCACCGAAGTAAAGTAAAGAGGTATGTAAAGAGGTATGTAAAGAGCAAGTTTGGCAACAGAACATGGGAGCTACTGACGGGCTACGATGGGACAGCTGGCAAGCGTCTAGGTTAAGTGCTTACATGGGGTTAATGGGTCTTACGCAGTAATTCGTAGTGACGATCTCCTGAACAAAGTCCGATAACTATAGCAACTAAGCACCAACATCGAATATACTATTTAAGCGTCCAGGGGCTCAATGTCGGTTGCGCTCTGGAGTTGCAACCCGAAAATCATATCGATATATGTATAGGTAGATTATAGGTAGATATGGTCTGGGGCTCACCAAAGAAAATAGGGGACTGGGTCATATTGCCGGGGATGGGACGCTCAGGCATCCGCCGGTGGACCCGGAACGAGACTGTAAGAGTTCGGCTCGGTTGCTGCCCTACTCTTTTGATTACCTCTTACATAGGCTTGTTCCGTTTTCTAACCCACAAACTAATGGGGCTAGAGCTTCTTGGGCGCAAAGAGCGCCATCGCAGACTAAAACCATTAGTGGATGATGCTGCTAGTATTCTATAACTGGGCACCGACCGAGACAACAAGGGAAGCCCTATGGATGGTTATTGACCAGACTTAAATTACTTACATGCCCAGATACCCACGTCCGTGGTTAACAAAAACCCAACAATGGCATCAGTAACGGAATCAAAGCGGGTGGTTCTGGTGTATCTTAATTACTTACATGGTGCGGAGTCGGTATCGTGGGACGTTCCGAAATTTGCTCGGGTCGTTGGCTGACCACCCTGTACTATTGTATTGGTTGGAAGTGATTGATCGTAATCCCACGTCCGCGGTCGGGGAAACTACCTAATATGCAGAATAAGGACTCGGGAACGGGTTGGGCATTCGCGTAAATAAGTCTCCTAGCCGATTACGGTTCGCTTACCACGGCAATGGCAACTAGTTTTAGTCGATCAATAGAGGAGCCACTGGGACGGCGATGTACGAAGTCATAACTTAATATACATATACCAACAATCTCACCAAGTGAGTCTTATATTCGAAGTATATCTAGTATCGAGGTAATTATCACGAGTATAGAATCAACTAGTCTAAGAAATATTTACCACAAACTGTCACTTTTCAATACTTTGACGCAACTAAGCGTATTCTCTTAGCATCCAAACTAGAAGCGGGAAGACTCCCTGTAGCTTACACTTAACACAGCAACGAGATAATTTCCCGATCTTTTTCACATCTCCACTTTCCACTTTACGTGTGCCGCATTTGCACATGAATTGTTCATGCAGGAAATACCCGCCTAAAGATTCTTAGTATAGTTCAGGGATAGGGGCCTAAATCACATTATTATGGCAATGGGCCGCCATGGGGTTTCAAGTATTTCATATTCGGTCAGGTCGCAATGCCGTCTGAGTTATTCGTTTTGACTTTATCAACTTCAAGCTAACATACACATTTGCATCACATAAAATTCTCAGTCTCGTTATACTCAACCATGCTCGAGGACGGATCTGATCAGGATGTAGTCCTAGTGACACAATTACCATCAGACTCTTGGTTTGAAGCTTTTGCTTTTCGGCCTAATGGCAAAATACTAGCCTGCCGACTAGACGAACCCGAATTATACACATTTTATCCCGAAGACTCAGATTCGACGCCTCAGCTACTGCATACCTTTGACGAAGCCGCGAACGGTATTATCGATGCGGATCCCATACCGGGTACTAAAGATGAATATTTCGTTCTTTCAACCGTTAGTGACCTAATTAGTGTCGAATTCAACGATTTTATCGTATGGCACGTCGCGCTCAGCCCCGATGACAGCAATCCGCCCAAAGTCACCAAAGTAGCCGAATTGCCAGATACGGGCCTTTGTGCAGCCGCCGTCGCGATTTCAGATCGTGTGGTGCTAATACCAGACTCAACTAAGAATTGCATATGGCATCTTGATACACAGACAGGTCAATCAACATTACTTGTAGCCGACGACAGTATGAAGATTGCAAATGGCGAAGGGAATTTCTTCGGTCTTAACCGGATATGCATCACAGATGAATTTATATGGTTTACGAATACCAGTGCTGGTACATTATGTCGCATCCCGATCCAACAAGTTCATGATGATCCATCTGTAGGAATCCGCATAACAGGACCTGTGCAGATTCTTACTGATGAGATCATTGACTGCGACGGGCTAGTTCTTACACAGGATGAGACTGCGGCCTACACGTGTAGTTATAAGGATGGTTTTATCTGGAAGATCGACATCGAGCCCTCGACGGGCAAGGCCACGACAAATGTTGTCTTGCGAAATTTAGCCTCGCCAACAGCCGTCGAGCTGAACTACGTGGATGGCAAGCCGAAATTGTTCATCGTGTGCTGCGGGGAGATCCAGATGGGTTGGATTCCGGAAAAGGAAAACCCCTGGAGTGACATCGTAAATATTAACGCGGCGGTGACGGTTCAGGTTGAGACTCGGGAAGTCGTTGAGACTGTTTGATATTAGCGTATTCGGGAATGGCAGCGCTCGGCTTGGTTATCTACGCTGGTATAATTGATGACTGGCCCATATACCCCTTTAATGGCACATAACACTAGGCATAGGATATGACATCTAATGAAGAAACTCTTCGTATTCAAAGACCTTGAACTCCCATTCTCCCATTAGTGAAGTTTAGTCGTGGCTACTAGGATCAAGTGAGCAGCGAGAAAATGGATCATTTGTTCTTTTTGATTCTCTGATTTACTGCATCTGGAAGAAGCCGAAGGCTAGTTTACACACTTGTGCGGTACTAGAAGGTGCCATTGTTTCGGAACCCGGAGTAAGACCCGGTATTAGACTCGGTGATTGTTTGGCCCAATTAGAACCTTGAGAACTGAAGATCTTTACCTAGAAATGTTTCCCCCGCTGCCATCCCCCATGTACCCTGCAAGCGTACGTACATAGGTAGGTACGTTTCTCAGTCCTTGTGTACATAGTAATCTTGAAGAACTATATGTTGATAGATGTCGATAGATGTTGATAGAAAATACATAGTTAGGAATAATTTGCTAATCGGAAATAAAGATAACGTTGCCGTACCTAAGAGCATCATTACCTGTATGTAGCTTAGATCATGAGCTTAAAGCACCATGATCCTCCTCTTTTCGCGGATCTACCCAGGCAGTTCATAGCAAACTCAATAACAACATTAGATATCATATCGACAACTAAGTGATCAACAACGTTAACTCATACGTTTCAAATCAGAGAGGAGCAAGATAGGTAACAAAGACAAATTACTTTGAGACTTGAGCGAATCGTGTGTTAGTCCCGCATAGTCTGGAGAACGATGATCTCGATCTAAACGCATGCAAAATCTCCCCGCCTCTCGCGTGGCAGCTCCGCTCAAAGCTTGTCTCTCTTCCACTCCGAAACAATGGACCGATGAACTACTGGGTGGTGTTGATACTTCTTGTCCAACGGCGCTTTTACTATCGAGGTAGTGTTCAGCCCATCCTAGTAGCTACTATTAATTGAAAATTCGCAATATATAGTCTTCGAAGGGATACATTACACCAGCTATGAATAAAGCCACTTAATGGACGAATAGCACACTTGAATATCCTACCAAGGTAGGGAAAGGGGCATTGTGAAGATATACAGTGTTGATGTGATGAGCATCTAAAGATAAATCGTAACAATCTCGGTAGAATACATTCTTCCCTGGCTGGATTTATAGTCTAGATCAATTTCAAAATAGCTAAGCATTTTAATAACCTCTTTATACGATCTAAGCTAATTTTGATGTTGCAACTGACTAGGGAGCATTCCAGGGTGTCATCAAAGACATAGGAAGCGACCTATGTACCTTACGTACCTGTTATGTAGTAGCTATGGTTATATCATTAATCACTTTAATGATAGTATGTAGTATGTAGTCGATTTGGTTACCTGAGAATGAAAACATATATAATAAATGATCAAGAATAAGTAGAGATAAATAGGAACACCTCGGACTCGCAGTTTTTATCGAAACGTCATTTTCTAACCTCAACCTGGCTCGAGCCATATCCCGAATCCCACCAACAATGTCCAAGAACGCGTAGCTTCGAGCAAACGATAAGGTATCGGGAGGAAGCGTAGCTTCAGAGGATATTATGACATGAGACTGGTAATTCCATTCGGAGTTTGGGGGGATTTTCTCACCATGAATTGAAGTTAGGAATGAAATATCATCATGTATTCGCTCAGCACAACTGAAGTATGAGAATAATTTGATATAAACAAGGATTGGATGTCGACATTATAAGTTAACGCCGATATTTCGATAGCGAGATCTGAAAAGGGGCAGGGCCTATACACACGGCGAAGCAGACCCTCCAGGCTACCTGAAATACAATAATACTCAATCACGAGTCTGCAGGTAGTATCTCTCTCACTCCTTTACGTTCCTCAATTTCTCCTTCGCTTTCTTTCTAGCTTCGGCAGATACATTCTGACTGCTGATGCTGGCCTTCGGTTTATGTATACTATAGGAAGAGTAACGCATTAGATAACGAGGTGGTGCTTCTGGAACAACTATGCCTTGTACGTCGCCTGGGCCCTTCTGCCCGTTCGTGTTTCCTCGAATTACACAAATATTGTTTGGCTGATCAGCATGCTCGTCGGTCTCGTTCGCCAGAACTCGCCGGGAATGTTTGATATGTTTCCCGAGGTTTATAAGTCGCAAACCTTACGAAGTACTAAACTACCTACCTACCTAGGTACCTACCTATCTAAATAACGGAACGTGAAGACTAATACGTTTATTAATGCTATGCTTATGTTTCTAGTTGTAACAAACGTTATAATGTAGGCATCATATTACATATAGGTTACAGCCGCCTCTATTTTACCATTGTGGTAAGGTGAGTCATTTGATATCTTATACACTGAACCCTATTGGAACTCATCATTCGGAATATTTTTAGTAGAACAAAGCACGCATACGTACCTACATACCTAATGAATACAGAACATCTAAAAGGTGACATTGAGAACATTCTATTTTTGCGAAATTGATTTTGGGAAAAGCCTTACCAATCTACTGGTCGGAGTAGGTCGTGAATAGAGACAATCTAGATTTCACTTTAGCGAGAGCTATATCATAGGGCATGGTATAGGAACTAAGTAGTTAATACTTATTAAACTTTTCTTTTATTCAGTTTTGGAGTGTAGAAAATGTAGTAATTATCTGTACCACCAGTTGACTGAAGTATTCAGCTCACCCTTCTTGCCACTACTAGCAACGCTATGCCACCACCCCTTGGGGATGAATAGGCTATCGCCGGGGTTTAGGGATACCTCATCTATCATATCTTCATCCCAAACTGCATGATGAAGTAATTCGCGTTCGCGGCCCTCCATCATTTCCGCGCCCCTGAATCGCGAGTTACCCGACGAGCCAAGCACTCTGCGGACGCGAGCATATATGTCATCGCCTTGTTCTGGAGCTATAATACGTATTCTTTTTGAGCTTACCAGCTGGCAGAATAAATTAGGGTTCGGATCTCGGTGTAAAGGGGTATAAGTGGGCTGTAATCCAAGCCAGATGCTCGAACTATATATATCTCCCTTGCCGGCATATTTGACAATATCAGGCACAGGTAAGTCCTGAAAAAGGGGTTTAGGTAGATCGTTCAGGTTGGATTGAGTAACATAGAGATTCGTGATGCGCTTGGAGGGTTCACTTTGAGTGTCATTGAACTGAGATGCGCTCATAATCAAACTTAGGGGTGCATTGAATTGCTGGAAATTTGAGGAAATTCCAAAAGGGCCGTCATCACTTGACGATTTAATCATAGCCTCAATGATCACTGGTAAATGCGACTTCTTATATTTATTGGACTCAAGAAGCCATGTTTGAAAATATGCCAAGGCATTGCCGTCTGAGCCGTCCCCTTCGGGAGAAGGATGAGGAACGGTGAACTCATATGGTAGGATAAGATCTTCATAGGGTCGCATGTACTGTGAGAAGCTGGTATGAGAACCTTCAGTGCCGTGCTGGAACCATTCTTGTATGGCAGGTAAATTATGGAAGTTTCGAAGAAGCAACGGAGTTTCAGGAACCCATGCGATTCTACGAAACAAATCTAAGTCGATATCGCCTACAATTGACTCGACACGGGAACTGTGCTTCTCGGTCTGTTTGCGGGAGTCTGAGTTGGCAATATCTAAGAGTTGACTATAACTTCGATTTGTCGAAGACGCGGGTAGGAACCGAGATAGAGCCCAGTAGTATTGGAATGAATGTCTAGACAAGACTATCCGTGAGCCGAGTCCAAATTTAGATAACATGAAGATGGATTTTAAGAGGGGATTAAGGTATAAGGTAAGTTCGTTAAGAGGGAACTAGGATTACCTAATGTGATTAAGAATTTAGGTGGTGACACGGTTGGAGATATCGCACAATGGCGCATGATAGAAAACGGAATTCGCACGGACCAGGCTTAGGTTGTTTTTGCTTGCGGCTTGACCTTAAGAGCAAGAACTTGTGTGGCTACATGTACATACCTACCAGTCTGGCTTGACCTTGCCTGATGCGGCTCGTAGGTGCATAAGTACCTGAAAGTAGCTATACCTATTAATACGAGCATTTCGGTAGATGGTGGTAGGCAGAAACTGTAGCTATACTTGCTATACCTTACTTTTATTCCCGCACAGACCACTTCATCGCCGGTGCACATAATTCTGGGCTAGACTGGGCTGAATCGCAATTTTGGTAGCCTCTCCCTCCTCTCATCCCCGCTAAAACTTATCACAACACATGCATCACAACTATTTCACAATATTGGTTCACCATTGTTGCACAATATCCATCTGCCGAGACCTGTTCTAGGTATCTCTAGGCATAGATATCTCTCTTTTTCTGTTAAATTATTCTATTCCCCTTCGTCTTCGCTCCTTACTCGCCTTCATCGGCGTCATGCAGGTGCCATAGCTCTCTCTTCTCTCGTCTCCCTAACCGCGAGTAACTACGGTTCGACATTACATCTTGCGACTCTTGACTATCGTCACTCCTAGACAAGTTAAATTTACTCGAGACGAGAGATTCCTTCGGGCGCATCTACTCTTGCCAGAATGTCCTCGTCATCTGGTACCCCGGAATCTTGGATTTCCTCCTTCTGCTCTCTCCTGGGCCACGAATATTTCGCAGAAGTGTCCGAAGAATTTATCGAAGATGATTTCAATCTAACTGGATTGCAGACACAGGTCGCGATGTATAAGGAAGCTTTGGAGGTTAGCTAAAATCAGAGTGCGGGTGCTTTTGTTTTGCTAACCTCTACCCCAGATGATACTCGATGTTGAACCCGAGGACGACGATGAAGAGGATGAGGAAGAAGAAGATGATGAGGAGGACGAATCTATCGAGGGTGTTGACCGTCCGCGACACGGCGAACGACGCAACCATAGTCGAATAGCCAGTGATCTGTCCGTTATCGAATCCTCCGCCGAGATGCTCTACGGCCTAATCCACCAGCGCTTTATCTGCTCACGAGCAGGCATTCAACAGATGTCGGAGAAGTATGAGCTGGGCCACTTCGGTGTATGCCCTCGAAGCCATTGTGAACAGTCTCGGACTCTCCCAGTTGGGCTCTCTGATATACCTGGCGAGGAAACGGTTAAGCTTTTCTGTCCTTGTTGTCTCGACGTCTACGTACCTCCCAATAGCCGTTTCCAGACTGTGGATGGTGCTTTTTTCGGCCGCACGTTTGGGGCACTCTTCTTACTCACTTTTCCCGAATACGACCTTACAAAACGAGGTGCTGATGTACTAGCAAATGCGCGCGTGAGCGACGACGATAAGGAGATGCTTAATGGCATGTACACATGCAATATCGCACCTGGGCTGGGCAGCACCAAGATATACGAGCCCCGTATCTATGGCTTCCGTGTTTCGGAGGTTGCGCGCTCAGGCCCACGAATGCAGTGGCTACGAGATAAACCGGATAATATTTCAGAATTAGATGAAGCACGCCACCATGCAGAGGCCAACCCTGATAGCGACGATGACGACGAAAGTATGAATTTAAATGGTCGGCCTGTGCGAAGACTACGGTCGCGAAGACGACATGGCCAAGGGGGAAGCCCTATGGCTATAGAGGCGAATGGGGCAGACTCAGAGCTTTAAGAGAACAAGTCGAATGGCAGATGTGACCAGAGAGTAGTGGTGGAGGCAACCATCTCCACTCGCCAGAAGTCCCATAGGTGAAGCACAAAACACAGACCGAACTAGACACGATGTGTCCCAGATCTCATTAGGTCGAAAGAGCGTAATCGGAGTTTCCGTACTCATTATGGTCTCACCCTTGGTTTGCGGAGAAGCAGCACGAGACGACGCAGATTATTAGGTCTCCGTGCTACTAGATAGGAAAAGGAACGAATGAAACCTATACTTCTACCTTGCATGGCCGGCGTTGGTAAACATTTCGATGCTTGATTCCATCCAGGCAGGTCTTTGTTTGGGGGCCTGGTTAGCATCAAAAGGGGAAAAGAGGATTACAAGTTCGGAGGAAGCATACGAGGTAGTTTCTTGTGGATATGATGTAACTTGAGTCATTTGTCTTCTTGTTTGCACGTGGCACTCAATTGGAGTCTAGGGCTCTTATAGATCGTCACCACACAGCGTAATAAATCCCTTCTCATGCGTGGTGACGGAGCTATCACGGGTTTGAAAGGCACAGCATAATTTAGTCGTTGTTAGCCTAAGTCTCTAGTACTGAGATATTTTGAGAAGCCCTAGCATTTCTGTATTGAGCAATTCTTAACGTTCCTCACGAGATGACCATATATGTGATTTTGGTTAAGTTTCTAGGTTAAGTGCTCACTGATAGATATCTCCTAGGGCCACATGTTGGAGCTGACCAAGGGTAGGATATATATATGTACCTAAGGTACCTACATACTAGGTACTTACATACCTCGTATAGTATTGATATACCTTAGATACCTACGTAGGTACCTATGCATGTAAGATAATTTTCTACACTATAACTACAAGGGACTTCACGGAGATTAGATTAACTATGCAGTATCTCTATTATCCTCGCCATAATTCTGAGCAGATGGGGCTCTCTTCCAAGTTAATTTCCCCAACACGACGGCCCACTAGAAAATTTATTAGAATGATACAGAATTATTCATTCTCTGTGGTTTCTTTCGGGACCATATGCGGAGTGTTAGGATTAGCCATCACAAGCTAAAATATACCCTTCAAGATATATTTACCTGTATCTACCTACTACCATATCCATACATAGATTAAATCTACGCTTAGTAAATAAGGTATGTACCTATGGATGGCAGATGCCGAGTCGGACACGGGAGCATGTATAGAGTACGAATATATACCATATTAAGTAATTCCGTGATTTGAAATGCGGGCCTGACGATCAACGGTGAAAGATCACGTGAATGATGCTCATTCTGATTTGATATGTTAGGTACCTACCTCGGTACATATGACTGCCCAGGCGAGCTAGCGTCCTTTCCGAATAGCATCTTGTTTTATTACACAAAACGAGCGTATTGTATTGTACACAGTACATCATCGCATAATCTACTCTATTGATTACTCCAACAGACAAGAGACCATGAAACTTCATCGTCTGCAGTCGTGGACTAGTTTTATAGGCGTATAGACTTATTCATCTATGTATGAGCTAGCACTTTGCCGTTGGCACGGGTCTCCTCGCCCAGTTTCACGACATATGTAGGTTAAGCATTTCCATGTAACTACGTGCAGCTTACATATATATATATATATATGCATATGTATCATGTAGGCACGTTTTATGGCAGTTTAAGGGAACATAACATATGCGTTAGTTAAAACTCTTATGTGTGACTTTGGCCTCAGAAAGTTGCCGTCTTCGAAATGCATTTCAAAGCTGTCTCACAAGCGAGTCGGAGCATCTAGACCTCTGAATCTTTCTGGGTCGGTGGCGAAGTAAGTGCTGAGCCGTATGGAAATTTACCTGGTTGGATCTCAAATATTTGTACCCGCACGCACGGATACATAATCCGTGGGGGTGGTCTAGGTAATCGTATACATACACGATGTACATAGGAATCTTAGAGGATTTCAATGTAGTTAGTACCGGATGTTTTTCGGTTATGTTCTCGACCCTTCTCCCGGAAAAGGTGCGAAGATACACTTACATACACTACATAGAACCGATGTCAACACACAAAGCACTAAGACTGCAACTGAGCGTGTGTCAAGTTATTGTTTGATAGATCGAGATAAATGCAAAGCGAATGTAACGGTCCCACTGCATCATTCATAACCTTATCATCGAATCACATCTACATATTTGCCGGAACTATGAATTAGGCCGAGATGGGGAAGAATATTGTTAGTACATAGGTAGCTAGTGAGGTTGAAAAACCCGTAGCGTACCCGGACTCCGACCCCGTATCCGAATTATAAATGGGTTGTTACAGGTCCACCCGCAACGGACAAATTTAAGGAGTACATACATAACATAAAACCTTTCCCCCCTATTCCATAGGCAATGAAGCTAACTAAGGCTGACTAAACTGGCCGAATGAGTCGAAACAGCGGTAGGTGTGGTTGGTCGCAGTGTCAGCGCACGGCGCACGCAACCCTTGGCAAAGTGTCCACTTTCCACGAGGCTTTGGGATGCACAAGTCGGGGTGCGGATACGGGAAGCCGAGGGCAACCAATAGGAAGAGCTTCGGATGGACTAATTAAGAAGACCTCAACGCATTAAAAACCGATCTGCGGTCCAACGCGGCACATCTTATCAGTAACAAGGTTCCGGGACTAAGATAGCTGCATAGTACATATATCACGGTGTTGATATTAACATGTCAACGGTACAACGTAGGGCTAGAATTTTGATAGTTCTTGCGATAAAACTATTTTTCATTTGCTTTAGAAGCAACTATATTAAAACAGTTGCTTATTGTACGTATTGTTATATATTCTTTAACTCATTGATATGAAATCAGTTTCTTAAAAGGGGCTCAGAGTTTTGATATAGTAAGTCGTCAAATCCAGCACTGTCATATACTATGGATTTCAGTTTAGTCGGAGAGTGGGGGCCACTATGTCCTAATCTGCTCGCTGTAGTATCAAGCGGTTAGTTACATTAAGCACGTTAGTTGTTTAATTCGACGGTAATACAAAAAAAGGATACCTTGCAACCCGGTTTAACTCATAGCCTAATCTTTTCACACCGCTAGCGAAGAATCGGTATCAGATGAAACGAATTTTTTATGGAGTTGCTTCACATATCTTTGCTCTATTGATTGGTAATCCTTGTCCTAATGCTAAGCCCAATGCCAAAGTTCGGCCTCGGGAAGTTATTAGGCTGCCGGCCAGGTACACTACATAATGAAAGAGACTGTTTACATACTACATACCTACATGTAGGTTACTTATCCACATACACTTCTGATGATACATGAGTAGTCTACACGTAGTCAAGCATTTATATTAATATATTATTTCAAGTCTTTATATATTATAGCTTTCAAATTGCAAAATGTTAAAAATTCCGACTCAAAGGTTTTAGAAGGTTAAAGCGAATATCTTAAAATCAACTATATTTAGGTAAACAACCGAATAAATACTCGTTAAGCTAGGTACCTAAAGCAACGCATGTATACACAAAAATGCTGATGAGCTAGGTACCTTCATTGATATATGTGGGGTAAGTATTTTGCTAACAATTAGGTACGTTTGCCAGGGGAGATTTCCAAGGTTGTATTACAAAACCCATAAACAGCATTTTCTCTTATTATATATCCTTCACTTAAGAAATATGCATCCTTTTTTTATCTTGCCTTCTGTCTCTGACTTCTTTTATTTTTTTATTTCCCCTCTAATTCCTTTCCCTTTCGCTTCCCCCTGAGAGGTAGTCGAATAGCCTCGATAAGTCCGATAAATCCCCCTGGACTTCATTCGACTAACCGTGGGATTATTACTTGTTGTATCCTCAAGCACCTAGTGTCATCCTAGGCATTTTTTAAATTCACTTTTTACAAATCCAATTTACGTTCCTAATAAGAGATTCGCGCATATTCTGGGCTTCTAAGGTCAACCGTATAAGCTGGGTAACTCCCACAACAGTTGTGGCCATAGCCATGCCTGAGAAGGATTTAGAAAAGCAGTTTACATCCGGGGAGCCGCCCCAAGACCATGACGATGGGTTCACGTCGGCTAAAACTACTGGGCCGCCATCTACAGATTCGACAGTCGTAACGGACTTAGAGGAGCAACGTGAAACTGTGAGACAGAACAACCCCAATGGCTTCTCACGCATCAACACCGGCGTCTCCGTCGAGCAAGCCGAAGCCGATTTTGCTGAGCTCAGCCGGGAACTATCTGGGCTGTCCAGAGCTAGTCGTACCCGTAGCCGAAAGGCGTCTGACGCCGAGAAAGGGGGCTTCACAACCCTCGAGACTCCGGGGTCTGAAGAGTCGATTGAAGCTTTCGATTTGGAGACAACTCTACGAGGAGGGCTAGATGCCGAGAGAGAGGCTGGCATCAAGCCAAAGCATATCGGCGTCTACTGGGACGGACTTACAGTCAAGGGCATGGGCGGCACTGCCAATTTCGTGAAAACATTCCCAGATGCTTTCAAGGACTTCGTGAACTACTGGACTCCTTTGATGAGCCTACTCGGTAAGGGTAGCAGAGGTACCGAGGTCACCTTGCTGGAAAATTTTAAGGGTGTTGTGAATCCTGGCGAGATGGTTCTTGTTCTAGGAAGACCAGGATCTGGATGCACGACTTTCTTGAAGTCGATTGCGAACCAGCGATGGGGTTATACTGGCGTTACCGGGGAGGTCCTTTACGGACCATTCACCGCAGAGGAGTTCCAGCAATACCGTGGCGAAGCCGTCTACAACCAGGAGGACGACATCCACCACGCCACCCTTACCGTTGAACAGACGCTCAATTTTGCGCTTGACACCAAGATTTCGAAAAGACTGCCAGCGGGAACCTCGAAGAGCAAGTTCAAGGAAGAAGTTATTACAATGCTACTCAAAATGTTCAATATCGAGCACACGAGGAAGACCGTGGTTGGTGATGCACTAGTCCGTGGTGTCTCTGGTGGAGAGAGGAAGCGTGTCTCTATTGCTGAGATGATGATCACAAATGCCTGTGTTCTATCATGGGATAACAGTACCCGAGGTCTCGATGCTAGCACGGCTCTCGACTTTATCAAGTCCCTTCGGA